GATATTGCCAGATTGCATTCCAAAAGAGTTTATACTCACACCAGTAGTATTCAGAAATCCTCTTTTTAACCACATTCTTCAGCATTAAATATTAGCATTTTTAAAGTGTTTTTTTTGTTTTGTTTTGTTTTATTTTGTTTTTTTGAGATGGAGTCTCGCTCTTGTCGCCCAGGCTGGAGTGCAATGCGGATCTCGGTTCACTGCAACCTCTGCCTCCCGGGTTCAAACGATTCTCCTGTCTCAGCCTCCCAAGTAGCTGGGATTACAGGCGCCCGCCACCAAGCCCGGCTAATTTTTGTATTTTTAGTAGAGACGGGGTTTCATCATATTGGTCAGGCTGGCCTTGTGTTCATGATCTATGAATGCATCTTTTTTCAGTTTTAATCGTTTGTTAATGAAAAATACAAGAACATCACAGAACGGTTGTAAGATAGGGTTAACAGCGCCTCTAGCGGGGACATCGAAAGGATCAACTAGGCTCTAAGTATCGGGAGCTAGCCCTGAGAAGCAGCAAAGCTGGATATCACTGTATGCTACCATCCGTCCAGGAAGCGGGTAGGAAGCTGGTGTTCTCGGCAGGACAGCGGGAGCATCTGCGGAGAGGACCCAGGTGCGACGAAATCTCAGAAATGGAAACGGGGAAATTGAAAGCACAGGAGATAAACTTTGCTTGGGTCACAGCTAGAACCCATCGCTTCGCCTTTACGAAAATATTGAGGCCCGTATTTCTCAAAATATTGAGAAAATATTCTCGCTGGAGAACTATCAGGTAACAGGGAAAGCCTACCCGCTACCCGGCTTTATGCGGCGCCGTCTCCTATGGCAACCGGGAGGAGGCGTGGTTAGAGGGTTAGTCACGCCCCTATCCTCTCCAACCCGAACAACGATTGGTCCGAAGGCGCGGCGGTGGCGCGGGGAGGCGGATCCAGGTTCGCAGCTCCGGCTGGCCCGCGCCGCCATTTTGGATTGTGTGAGCTTCCGGGACGTTCGGAGCGCGGCCTCTCTCTCGCCGGATTCCGCAGACCCCAGGCCCCGGCCTGCATCCAAGTGTCAGGTTGGAGCCGGGAAGCGGCCCTGGTGGTAGCGGCGGCGGGGGCAGGATGAGCGCGGAGGCGGCGGACCGGGAGGCGGCCACCTCCAGCCGGCCCTGCACCCCGCCGCAGACCTGCTGGTTTGAGTTCCTGCTGGAGGAGTCACTGTTGGAGAAGCATCTGCGCAAGCCCTGCCCGGGTGAGCGCGGCGCCTGCACCTGGGGAGCGGGACACCGCCACCGGAGCCGTTCGCCCGGTTTCCATCCGCTCCCCGCCTTCTCGGCCACCGAAGCTGCGGCCGGGCTCCTCGCTTGCCTTAAACATGCCCGGGTGGAGGTCAAAGAAAAGCTCGAAACAAAGGCTCTCCTAACCCCGGAGGGGAGGGCTTGGCGCTGTCAGCCCAAACCCTTTGGTCCTTTTTACGATTTACCTTTTTACTGTTGGGGTTTTAGAGCCTGCGAGGCGGGTCTTGTGGTTGCTTGGGTCGGGGAGGCTGACCAGACCCCTCCTTCACTGAACCCCAAGCTGAATAAATTCAGGAAGACGGGGAGAAATCAGCTGTTGAATGCTGATCCTGACGCTAGTTATTATCTTAGGTTCTTATTTAAACATTTTGTTCTTCAATGAGGGGATTTTATTGACTCTTATTCCAAAGTTGGGCTGTAAATTAAAAGAAAATCTTTGAAAGCAGGAACTGCTGCACATTTGCAAGATGGCTTTGTATAGTGATGATAATGATTAATAGCCCAGTTAAATGGGTGTGATGGGGGCGGAGGAGGAAAACTCCAGGCATTCTCAAAAAAGGTATTGGCACCAAAAGGTAAGTTCCTCGGATAACGTTTTTCTAAATTCAAATCTATATATGGCTTGTTCAGTCTCGTAGACTGGCCTTAACTGATAGAGATCACTGTGTAAGAAGTTAATGTACTTAGGCAATTTTGCCAGCCGTATGATGCCCTTAATTCATTCCTTTTGAAAGATACTTGTTGAGTGCTTTCAGGTTGCCATGCACTGTGCTTAATTGTTCACATCTGTTACTCCTTTAATCTTCATAATCTGTGAGGTAGGTGATAGTATCTTCTATTTTGCATTGGAGGAAACAGGTGCAGAGAGGTCACTTGATGGAGGTCCCCCCCTAATTAAGTGTCAAAATAGTAGTTCTAATGCTTGTATCTCATTCTTCTAATTGGTACTGGTTATTTGCAGAACCAGAAATCTATTGACTGTTATGTTCTTCCCCATGAGGTGCTTTTTTTTGCTTTCTTCCACTCTAATGTTACCCTTCCTCCTTACCACTCTTCCTCATCTGCTTTAACACCCAAGCACACTTCTTACATATGGTATTCCTTAGTCATTTTAACAGCACAGCTGTTTGGATTCCTTTTGTGGCAAAAAAAAAAAAAAAAAAAAAAAAAGAACAAACAAAAACAAACCAATGGTGAATCCTTTTGTAGCTTCATAATTAAAGCTTAAATTTAAGAATTTATTTTATTTTAAATCCTAGATCCTGCACCAGTTCAACTTATAGTTCAGTTTTTGGAACAGGCTTCCAAACCTTCAGTTAATGAACAAAACCAAGTTCAACCTCCGCCTGATAACAAGAGAAATCGTATTTTAAAACTACTTGCTCTTAAAGTTGCTGCACATTTGAAGTGGGACTTAGACATATTAGAGAAAAGGTATATAAGATTTCAGTGAAATTTCATTTGAAGTACTGTTTAGATATATTGGTTTATTTCTATATCTGCTTTTGTGATATTGGCTCTTAGAACTTACAGACTGGGCGCCTTGGCTCACGCCTATAATCCCAGCACTTTGGGAGGCCAAGGCAGGCGAATTACTTGAGGTCAGGAGTTTGAGACCAGCCTGGCTATCATGGTGAAACCCTGTCCCTAGCTGGGCAGGATGCCGGGCGCCTGCAATTTCAGCTACTTGGGAGGCTGAGACATGAGAATCACTTGAACCCAGGAGGCTGAGGTTGCAGTGAACCGAGATGGCGCTACTGCACTCCAGTCTGGGCGATAGAGTAATACTAGGAAAAAAATAAAATAAAGATTATATGTTCTTGATAAAATATGCAAGTATAACATTACTTTTGATGTGGTAACTAGAGAAAATCCACACCTAAACTGTTGTAAATTTCTCAAGTGACTTTTCCATATCTGAAGAAACTGAATAAAAATTGATAGATGTGTAATATGGATGATTTGCTATTGAATAATTGAGTTAATTTTACTGGTCATAAATCACTGTCTCCTGTTAAAACAGCTGATTAGAGTCAGTGCTTATTTTCTTAAAAATAAATACTTTAAAGGCTGTGATTAGAAAATGATTTATTATCCCCTTCTCATCACAATATAAAAAGATCCCTTATAGGAAGTTGGGAAAAATTCAAAAAATGGGAAATAATTGGGGGAGGAGAGAGTATTTTTTTTAACATTTCCATGTAATTTTTGTTCTTTGTTCTCCATAGGCTTAAAGTTGTGATTGTATCCTATATACTGTTTTGATTTCTGGTTTTTTTCACCTAGCAGTATCATGAACGTTTCCCCTTTTTTATGTTTTGGAGATAATTCCTTTGTATGGATAATTTATTAACTGTTCCTTAATTGACAGTCATTTAGTTTATTTCTAGTTTTTCACTGATATAAGTCACAGGACTTAAATATCTTTGCCTGTAAAATAAATTTATCTGTATTTTGAGTTGGATTCTTAGGATAGCTCCTTAAATTGCTGGATCATGCAGTATAAACATTTTTAAGACACATAGATATTGCCAGATTGCATTCCAAAAGAGTTTATACTCACACCAGTAGTATTCAGAAATCCTCTTTTTAACCACATTCTTCAGCATTAAATATTAGAATTTTTAAAGTGTTTTTTTTGTTTTGTTTTGTTTTATTTTGTTTTTTTGAGATGGAGTCTCGCTCAGTCACCCAGGCTGTAGTGCAGTGGCACGATCTGGGCTCACTGCAAGCTCCGCCTCCTGGGTTGACGCCATTCTCCTGCCTCAGCCTCCTGAGCAGCTGGGACTACAGGCGCCCGCCACCATAAAGCATAGTTTTAATCTGAGGAGGGGAGCCTGTATGTTACAGACTGAAGAGACAGCAACAGATAGCAATGAGTACAAAGAAGTATGGTATATATGAGGCAGCTGGAAAATTGAACACTGATAGGCCGTTTGACAGTAAGCAAGTCTAAATTTTTTAGATGCGAAATTAATATTGTGCTTATATTAAGAGTTAATTTTTTGAGATATATTCTGAAATATTTATGGATGAAATGATTTGGGAAGTGGGGAAGAGTAGAGATGAAATAAAATTGGCCATCAGATGATAATTGCTAAATGATGGTACATAGGATTTCATTATATTGTCTACTTTCGTGTTTTACGTTTTTTCATAATAAAAAGCTTTAAAAATCTTTTCGCATTTGATAGCTAAACCCAGAGATGTGGTTCCTTAACAAAGTAGGTATTTTCAGTGAGGATACGGAATTCTGTATGTATTTTGTGTTTCTTTCACAATTAACATGCAAACATGTACGTTTTGCTTCTTCCTTTTAAGTTTGTCTGTTCCAGTATTGAATATGCTACTAAATGAACTACTCTGCATCAGTAAAGTTCCTCCTGGGACGAAGCATGTAGACATGGATCTGGCCACTTTACCTCCGACCACTGCCATGGCTGTACTTCTCTACAATAGATGGTAAATGTTTTCAGAAACTCAGAATGTGTTGGGCAACTTCTGTTTTATTGCACTGTGGCTTTCAAGGGTGTGCTTTTAATGGACCCATTCTGTTGCAGGGATTTCTCAAATCTTGGGAACTGTGAGTCTGATGGTGGAGAAAATTTGTGACTGCATAGATGAAAGGCAGTCTGATTAAAAATGTGGATGACTTATCACTTAATGCTTCAGATAATTTATGCAAACCTAAGGAGTACTTGAAAAAATAATTGAGATGACATTTATAAGTATGAAATTTTCTTTTTCCTGTCTTTTCTTCAGGGCAATTAGGACAATTGTTCAAAGTAGTTTTCCAGTCAAACAGGCGAAACCTGGACCCCCTCAGTTAAGTGTGTAAGTTGGTGGCTATGACCCTTACTTGGCGCTTTTTTCATTAGAGTTTCAAAAATGTTTGCAAGTTTTTAATAAGCTCTGCTATGGAAGAAGTAGAACAGGAATAGGAGGGCAGAAGGCCTGTGTGAAGGTTTGTTTGAAGGAGTTAGAGGGGCTGGAGAGTCAGGTAATGTGCTAGAGACAGAGTTCTAAGAAGGGAAGTGCTTTGGGAATTGTGCCATTTATCTGAAAGCACTAAGGTTTTTTTTTGTTTTGTACAGTTTTTTTTTTTTTTTTGAGCTAGAGACTCACTCTGTCACCCAGGCTGGAATGCAGTGGTGCGATCTCGGCTCGCTGCAGCCTCCACCTCCTGGGTACAAGTGATTCTCCCACCTCAGCCTCCCAAGTAGCTGGGATTGCAGGTGTGTGCCACCATACCCTGCTAATTTTTGTATTTTTTAGTAGAGTCGGGGCTTCGCCATGTAGGCCAGGCTGGTGTCGAACTCCTGACCTCAGGTGATCCACCTCCCTTGGCCTTCCAAAGTGCTGGGATTACAGGTGTGAGCCATGGCACCCAGCCTGATATTTTTTTCATTTAATTAAATTGTCTTGAAAAAGATACATTTGTATATGGGGAAATTAATATATGTAAATATTAGAGTACAATTACAAAAGTTGATCATATCTGGAGGTTTCCTTTTTTTTAAATTTTTTATTTTTAAGGCTAGTCAAGTGAAGCGGGGGAGTGGAGGATGGAGTTTTAAACCTGATTCTTAATTTCCACATGGCAGCTTACCCAAATTTGAAGCTAGAGAGCATAGTTTCTAACTTGATTCAAATGAGCTTTTGTTGTAAGTTTTGTTCTTAAATTGAGCAGATGAGACTGGGTGCTGTGGCTCACACCCGTAATCCTAACACTTTGGGAGGTTGAGGTGGGAGGATTACTTGAGCCCAGGAGGTTGAGGCTGCCGCTGCACTCCAAACTGGGTGACAGGGAGACCCTGTCTCAAAAACAAACAAAAAACCCAAACAAAGTAAATGAGAAAATACTAGTACGTTAATAAGCGTCGTAATAGTTGAGGGTTTTGTTTTTTCAAACATGAAAATAAATAACATTAAAAACACTCTTATTTAAATTGAACCTGACTTTCAAGAATGATGCTCTTAAGTTTTGAATTTTTTAGTCTTGAGAGTAACTTTTGATACTTTTGTTTTCAATTGTTTCTCTTTTAGGATGAATCAAATGCAACAGGAAAAAGAGCTAACAGAAAACATTTTGAAAGTGGTAAGTATTGGCATCAGTTACACAGTAACATTTCAGGAACAACTTTAGAGCAGCAGTTCCCACTTTTTTGGCACCAGGGACTGGTTTTGTGGAAGGCAATTTCCATGAAACCGAATGTGGCGGGGGGGGGGGGAGTGGACAAGGATGGTTTCAGGATGATTCAAGCACATTACATTTATTGTGTACTTTATTTCCATTATTATTACATTATAATATATAAGGAAATAATTATCCAACTCACCATAATGTAGAATCAGTGGGAGCCCTGAGCTTGTTTTCCTACAACTAGATGGTCCTTTCTGGGGGTGATGAGAGAGAGTGACAGATCACCAGGCATTAATTCTCACAAGGAGGACGCAAGATGGATCCCTCGCATGTGTAGTTCACAATAGGGTTTGCGCTCCTGTGTGAATCTGATGCCCCCATTGATCTGACAGGAGGTGGAGTTCAGGCCATAATGCAAGTAATGGGGAGTGGCTGTAAATACAGATGAAGCGTCTCTTGCTCACCCGCTGCTCACTTCTGCTGTGTAGCGTGGTCCCTGGTACCAGTCCATGGCCTGGGGGTTGGGGATCCCTGCCTTTAAAGCATGTATTGATGTATCTTCTAATCTTGGGGACATGAGAGTTGTGAAGGTCTAAGTGCCGTGACATTAAGGTTTTTACTATTAGGATGTAGGTAGTATTCTAAATCACATGTAGACTTTCAGTTTTAATAGTAGAGTACTTTACCACTGATTGATTCTATTTTTGACTATTTCATGATACATTAGTAGATACGAGAAACTGATTTTACAGATGACATCTTTATATTCTTTTGTATTTTCCAAAAACTCTTATGACAAACATGTATAGTTTATATTTTAAAATTACTTTTATAATAGGTTTTTTTTTTTTTTAGTTTTTTATTTTTTTGAGACAGAGTCTTGCTCTGTTGCCCAGGCTGGAATGCAGTGATGGGATCTCAACTCGCTGCAACCTCTGTCTCCTGGCTTCAAGCAATTCTCCTGCCTCAGCCTCCTGAATAGCTGGGATTACAGGCATGTGCCACCACTGGGCCCAGCTAATTTTTTGTATTTTTAGTAGAGATGGAGTTTCACCGTGTTGGCCAGGCTGGTCTCGAACTCCTGACCTCAAGTGATCTGCCCACTTTGGCCTTCCAAAGTGCTGGGATTACAGGTGTGGGCCACTGTACCTGGCCTAGCAGTTATTTTTAAATTGATCTACATAATGGAAAATTAGAAACCTGACAGTTTCTGTAATTTAGAAATAATTTCTGTAATTAGCACCAACAATGTTCCAGATTACCATGTGAGGTATAGGGGCTGGGTGAGGAGAGAAAAAGGTAAAAAACGATCTGTATCTCACTATAGCAAATATGCTGTAGTATTTTGAATGTGGAAGCCAGAGCCTGTACCATTTCATTGTTACTATCTAGTTCCTAATAAAATGGCTGGCACAATGAAGCATACAGAGATTCCTTGAACAAATCAAGTGGAACAGTGCAAGTTTTTTCTCTTTTAGCCAGCGTCTGACTCTTTTGCCCAGGCTACAGTGCAGTGGCCTGATCTTGGCTCATTGCAACCTCCACCTCCCAGCCTCAAGTGATCTTCCCATCTGTTTTCCCGGTAGCTGGGACTACATGCATGTGCCACCACACTTGGTTAATTTTGGTATTTTTTGTAGAGATGTGATTTTGCCATGTCGTTCAGTCTGGTCTCGAACTTCTGGACTCAAGCGCTCCACCCACTTCAGACCCCGCAAAGTGCTGGTATTACATACATGAGTCACTGTGTCCAGCTAAGTCTTTTTTTTTTTTTTGAGATGGTCTTGCTCTGTCACCCAGGCTGGAATGCAGTGGTGCGATCTCAGCTCCCTGCAACCTCCACCTCCTGGGTTCAAGCAATTCTTCTGCCTCAGCCTCCCAGGTAGCTGGGATTACAGGTGTGCTCCACCATGCCTGGCTAATTTTTGTATTTTTAGTAGAGACAGGGTTTCGCCATATTGGCCAGGCTGGTCTCGAACTCCTGACCTCATGATCTGCCCCTCTCGGCCTCCTAAAGTTCTGGGATTTCAGGCGTGAGCCACTGTGCACAGCCACCAGCTAAATCTTTAAAGCATTAACTTTTCTTTTTTAGACAGAATATTACTCTGTCACACAGGCTGGAGTGCAGTGGCATGATCTCGGCTCACTACAACCTCTGCCTCCTGAGTTCAAGCAATTCTCATGCCTCAGCCTCCCGAGTAGCTGGGATTACAAGTGTACGCTACCACGCCCAGCTAATTTTTGTAGTTTTAGTAGAAACAGGCTTCGCCGTGTTGGCCAGGCTGATCTTGAACCCCTGGCCACAAATGATTCTCCTGCCTCACTCGGCCTCCCAAAGTGCTGGGATTATAGGTTTGAGCCACTGCCCCCGACCTAAAGTATTAATTTTTCTACAGAAAAAAGATACTAGTCTTTCATGTTTTTTATATTATCTTTTTCTTTTTTTTTTTTTTTT